TATATTTTTAAGACAATTTTTGGTCTTTCGACGATATAATCTGCCTTCGAAATTTAGTTGAATATTTTTTTAGTTTTATCTGAAATTAAATAGCATAGTTATGTGAGAAAAATATTTCTTCCATTATTTTTTAAAATTCAATATGCCAATGGTGTAAAAGCTTTTCTTGTTTTATTTTGTACACTGGCTCGAAGGATTTTAATGATAAAGTTACGCAACAGTGCTAGAATTAATTAATTGTTTCTCGTTGTGCGCATGATCTTATCAGAAGCATTCCACTCGAATAACTGTAAATCGCCAAACTTCTTTTATTTAAAAGAAATCCTCTGGCAGAGCTTCCGTGGTTAACGGGCAAAGATATAATCCATGGCTAATTAAAAGCAAGTAAGGAACTTGGGAAGAGCCATGATCACATGAAGGGACACATTACATAAATCACAAGGAGTATATTTCGAATATATATTCGGAGTTTTTTAGCATAGCTTTCAATCACCTTTCAAGACAATAATGTCTGTTAATGCTTTAAGATAGGAACCTTAGTAATGAAGGATACAATGACTGACTATTCGACTAAAACAAAACAACTCGTCATCTGAGCAACCCAGGAATATGAAGATTATATGTCATCCCATTTTCGGAAAAAAAAAACATGGGAAGAACGTCTACACAAACGTCATCGAACCAATCTTCAGAAATGCCATCATACAGATTGACAACTCTGGGTTTAGTTCGAAATTCCAACAAATATCACCTGAAGAAAGCCCGGACGTACAACAGCCGGAACCATGTGAATATAACAATAAAAATGAGAACAACTGTCTGAACAATGTAAATAGTGTAAAAAGAAACAATAATTTCTTGTTATCCAGTTGAACAGAAAAGTCAAGCCATAGTACTGAAATTAATATTTTAAAAGGTTTCAATAATAATAATAACCTATAAATCTTATTTATATACGTGGGGGTACAGAAAATGTCTTGGCGCAATCCAATTTCCAAAATGTGACTCAATTTCCAAAATGTGACAAAATTGCCAAAAATCAAGTTTTCTTTTTTTTTTTTGCGAGGTAAGGGATTTTCTGTCAAGGTCGGGAACTTTTCAGCATTCCCTTAATAGAGCGACAGAGACGAATTAGGTTGTTATATGATTCGCAGCCTAATGATGAAAAAAAATGTTAGTGTTATAGAACAAATACGTATTCAACAGAATATTCTTTGTCAATGCACTTAATCCATACCGTGTATTAATAACATCGATTTACACGGGGAAATTTTCATATCAGAAATATAAAAATTCAACAAATAATTATCTGAGTACGGACTTATTGATCAACTCTTGATATTAATATTATTATTATATATATATATATATATATATATATATATATATATATATATATATGTGTGTGTGTGTGTGTGTGTGTGTGTGTGTACCTAAACATAAACTATGAAATCTCCGCAAATATACTTAAATGCCTATAATTGATAACAGAAGTCATTGGTTTATACCAACGGTTTCCCATAATTAACACTTCTTTTTCACTTTCGCGTGGTCATGTGTTATGTATGAGCTGCATTGCAATTTTCGCTTCCAGCGTCGGGTATGCACGAGTTTGTCGTTGCTTGGAAATCTTCCATGCAAACAAAAACAGACTATCATTATTGTTATGTCCGTGTATTGTTTAATATATTATAATGTAATTGTCATCTTTGATGATGGCTTATGTCAGTCGAAAGCTTTGATAGGATTAAAAAATATGTATCAATATGGTGATTTTCTTTCGTCTTTCAATGATAATGTTATTAAGCTTATCAGACAATATGAAAGGAATTTACATAAAATAAATAGACAAAACTTGTTTATATTATTTGATGAAACCTGAAAGTGACATCAGAACTCATTACTCACGTAACTAATACAGTTTCTACACGCACTGTACATCGGAACCGCTATCGATGGAAGGGATGCATTTCCTAAACATGTGATCACAAAATCGAACGCCAAGTTGCGAAAAAAAAATGTTGTAATGAACACAAAAATTGGACACTCGAGGAATACAAAAAAGTTATTCGGTCTGACGGGTCTTTTCACTTTATTTCCTACAAGCGGGCGTGTTTATGCCTGGAGAACACCGACTGAAGACTCTGATCCCGATTATATTGTTTCGACAGTCAAACATAGAAAGGGCTGTGTAATAATTTTGGCGGGAATTTCCTGGTATTCTTCTGCTCCTATCATCACGCCCAATGGTAGCATTAATGCAGATAAATATCTTGACATTCTCAACGATAAATATCTTTGCAGTGACTATCATACAGTGACTATTGCAGTGACTATCATACAGTGACTATTGCAGTGACTATCATACAGTGACTATTGCAGTGACTATCATACATCTTCCCTGGCCAATACAATCACCTGAACTCAACTGAACCACTGTGGTGAGATCTAGAGCATAGACCGAGGAAGAGATTTCCTTTCTCATCATTGCTGAAGTAACTTCTGAGATTTTAATGCAAGAATGAGATAAAATTCCACTAGAAACAATATAAAACTAATTTGATTCCTTTCCACGTAAAATCAAATCCGTTTTGTAATTTTAATAGGAGGGCCAGAGAGAGAGAGAGAGAGAGAGAGAGAGAGAGAGAGAGAGTGAACATTGTAGTCAACATTCAGAGGCGACAAGCTGTTTCATGCTAGACGCAATCGTCTAGCATGAAACAGCCTGTCGCCTCTGAGTGCTGACTTCAATATTCACTTTTATATTTACACACACTTTATCTCTGATATTGAGCACTTTATCCCATAAATATAGCACACCTTTTTTATATATATATATATATATATATATATATATATATGCGGAGAGTTTAGTAGCTGTCATGGTTGAATTAGTGTTTAAAAATTATTTGCTGCTACTAATTTGCTTACACAATTTTGTCTGTCGGCCAGCATATCACCGATATTTTTTTGTGATCATTCCAACTTAAGCATGGCGATATTGCCACTAAGACGCAATGGTTTAATGGGAGTAAAAGAGAGGAATTTAGTGAAAAGAAATGACAATAAAAAACAGAATTGAGGAAGACAGAAGTTAGCGATTGGCTTTGCATTTATATTTTTGATGATTGTAACTTGCAGGGAAGCAAGACGCCGTAAGGTAATTTCACAGGTAAAGAAATAAACTATTAGAGTAGAACATACGGTTATATCTACGTAGTTCAGCATAAAACTGTGATATACTGTTGTCAATCTAGCAGCATGCTTAAATTCATACAGTCGAGGCGACAAGAAATTAAGCTCATAAAAAGATTTCCATGGAAATATCTGTAGAAAAGACAGAAGGAAGATAAGTTATGTCGGTAAGATGTGACTAAAGTTTAGATGCCAGGTCAAGATGGATTATATTACAGACTATTCTTTGAATTTTCTCAAGAATCTCGAGATAGGAGCATCAGACCAGATATGGCAGCAATATTCAATGCATGAAAGAATACTAGATTTATAAATATGCTAGATGGATTCTGGCTAGGAAAAATTGTCTGAATCCACACTGAACCAAGCAGACCTATATTCAATATAGTCACTCCGATTAATGACACTGGAAACCGTACTGGGTATGACGATATACTACATCCGCGTCCTGGGTAAAACCATAAACTACCTCCAACAGCAACCTTGCTTATATCAGCTGCATGAGTAATTTTTACTCCAGTCCATATTTGTCGTTCGTCCTGGGTATGACGATAAACTACATCCGCGCCCTGGGTAAAACGATAAACTACGTCCAACAGCAAGGCCTCTGATAAGGAGGTTTTGAGGAGCGTGGAACCACCTCTTAATTGCTGGTGTTCCTAGGGCCACCCTGACCCGGGGTGGTAGCACCTGTTAGGGGTCCCAGCTATGGGTAAATAGTTAACAACCTGATTGGGTTCAAAACTCTGAAAGTGTAAAAATAGGTTTTAATACCAGAAATACTTTGTAATAAAAAAAAAAAAAAGTAACCAGCAATACATTTTTAAATAAAAATATTACCAGCTATATATTTTTGGAAAATAAATATTACGAGCGATGGAAAATTATTGCCAGAAGTAGATTTTTGGAAAATTTATTACCAACAATGAAAATTTTGTCGGCATTAAATAACCCATTGAGGTTGATATGCTGTAAAACAAACCAAACCAACACTGGAAAACCCGAATCCAAAAAGGCGCCATGAGTTACTCGCTTACTTCCATTCTCAGCTTCCATTCCTCTAAAATATGCATCTATATCTATCTCAGACTGTAAAGATATATCAATATTCCGTTTGTTTATATCTATTTAGCTTGCTACCTACCTCTGTTCATACTTCACTTGATATCACGGTCGATTTGTAGCTATATATATATATATATATATATATATATATATATATATATATATATAATCACGGCGTAGTCATAGCTTATAGTCGCATCACATCAATACCCTTGTAAAGCAATGAATCTACTTCTCCCTTTCCGGTTTCTTATAACCGGCTACCTTTACACAATATCGCGTTAGGGGACACGCCATTTTAGTTGACTAGGCTAGAGAGCGCTTGAAGTACACCACTCTCCTATAACTGTCAAATTACTCAAGACAGAAGCAACAATTTATCTGTTACACCCATTACCAACCATGACAGAGGCTGACTCGTAATACACTTGTAAGAAAACTTGTGTCGAAATGTACGCCTCCATACACGTTTAATGGTAAACAACGATAGACCAAAGGTGTGATTATGTTAATGTGTCGAGAGCAAATCTTCGCTGAACTTTTGACAAAAAAGTGAAGCCGTCATCTTCTAAATAAGGCAAAGCCAATTTTGAACGAACATGGACTTAAGGAGATTACAGATGCTGGTTAATAAAAAAAATATAAGAATACTGAAGTGACAGGTCTTAATAAACAAGTCGGGTTGCATCGGTCCCGTTGCAAGGAACAACCTCCATCTTGATTGACACGTAGGTTGTGACGAGCTTTCTGGTTTGAAGATAAAAATATGTCAAGAGAAAGAAAAGTAATCACATTGCTACTACCATAGCGACAAAGGAGCTTGGCACAGTAGGTGAAGTCAAAAGGATAAAACACACTCGCATGTTTAAACATAGGGCGATGGTCGCAATGACAGAACCTGAGTAAGGATGTTCTCGGGTCGGGGGGTCCTTTTTCTTTCTTTCTTTCTTTTTTTTTCCGAGGGAACGTCTTCAGTCCAGTACCTTTCTCAATCATAAATGAAATATAAGATGGACGGGAATAGGGGGCAGGGATTGGTGGATAAAGCCACTTACTAGAAAGTGATCACAAAGCGGGTCGTGATATCCAAGAAAGTTTTTGTTTTTTTTGTTTTTGTAATTATAAATATGGCAAATCTTTTCTTATCTCATCAGCCGAAAGCTCCTGTGAAGAATACAGTATGCGTGGTGGGAGAGAGACGGTTAAAAATAGGTAAGAAGGAAGAATAAGATGAAACGGGATAAGAGAAAGAGAAAGGGATAGGAAGAAAAGGGTGAGAGAGAAGAACAAAGTGAGAGAGAGAAGGGAATAAAGAAAAAAGGACTAGAAAAAACGGTGAAAGAGAGACAAGGAGAAAGGAGTGTAAGAGAGAGAGAGACAAGGAGAATGGAGTGTAAGAGAAAGAGACAAGGAGAATGGAGTGTGAGAGAGAGAGACAAGGAGAATGGAGTGTGAGAGAGAGAGAGAAACAAGGAGAAAGGTGTGTGTGAGAGAAAGAGATATAAGGAGAAAGGTGTGAGAGAGAAAGAGATAAGGAGAAAGGGGTGAAAGACAAGAAGAAAGAGTAACAGATAGAGAGAGACAAGGAGAAAGGAGTGTAAGAGAGAGAGAGAGACAAGGAGAAAGGAGTGTAAGAGAGAGAGAGAGACAAGGAGAAAGTTGTGTAAGAGAGAGAGAGAGACAAGGAGAAAGTTGTGTAAGAGAGAGAGAGAGAAGGAGAAAGGTGTGTAAGAGAGAGAGAGAGAAGGAGAAAGGTGTGTAAGAGAGAGAGAGAGAAGGAGAAAGGTGTGTAAGAGAGAGAGAAGGAGAAAGGTGTGTAAGAGAGAGAGAGAAGGAGAAAAGGTGTGTGAGAGAGAGAGAGAGAAGGAGAAAGGTGTAAGAGAGAGAGAGAGAAGGAGAAAGGTGTGTAAGAGAGAGAGAGACAAGGAGTGTAAGAGAGAGAGAGACAAGGAGTGTAAGAGAGAGAGACAAGGAGTGTAAGAGAGAGACAAGGAGACAAGAGAGAGAGAAGGAGAAAGGGAGTAAGAGAGAGAGACAAGGAGTGTAAGAGAGAGAGAGAAGGAGAAAGGAGGTAAGAGAGAGAGAGAAGGAGAAAGGAGTGTAAGAAAAGAGAGAGAGAAGGGAAAGGAGTGTAAGAGAGAGAGAGAGAGAGAAGGAGAAAGGAGGTAAGAGAGAGAGAAGGAGAAAGGAGTGTAAGAGAGAGAGAGAGGAGAAAGGAGGTAAGAGAGAGAGATGAGGAGAAAGGAGTAAGAGAGAGAGAGAAGAGAGAAAGTAAGAGAGAGAGAAGGAAAGGAGGTAAGAGAGAGAGAGAGAGAAGGAGAAAGGAGTGTAAGAGAGAGAGAAGGAGAAAGGAGTGTAAGAGAGAGAGAGAGAGGAGAGAAAGGAGTGTAAAGAGAGCGAGATGAGGAGAAAGGAGTGTAAGAGAGAGAGAGAGAGGAGAGAAAGGAGTGTAAAGAGAGCGAGATGAGGAGAAAGGAGTGTGTGAGAGAGAGAGATGATGAGAAAGGAGTGTTTGAGAGAGAGACAAGGAGAAAGGTGTGTGAGAGAGAGAGAGAGGTGTGAATAGAGAGAAAGACAAGGAAAAAGGTCTGTGAAAGAAAGAGAAACAAGGGGAAAGGGACTGAGAAAGAGTGGTATAAAAAGAAAAGAGAGGGACGAAAAGAAAGTTTTGAGAGAGAGTCGGGGATAAGAAGGGAGGAGAAAGAAAGAGTGGAACAAAAGAAAAGAGAGAAGGAGTAGAACAAGAAAGGAAAGAGAAAGTGCAGGAGAAAAAGAGAGGAGAGTGTGAGAGCGAAGGACATGAAAAAAGAACATAAAAGTGATGGATAGCAAGAGAACAAGATGGAAGAGAAAGTTTAAAAAAGAGAAGAAATGTCTAAGAGAAAGGCAAATGGTATTGTGACAAGACATACAGCGAAAATCTTTCTTTGCGAAATATGATTTCGCTGATGCATCACAATCTTCTTGCTTTTACCCTAAACAGAAATAATATCAACAGTCAGGATTTCGAGTGTCATTTATTAAGACTATCAGAATCTGCACAATCTGTTAGAACTGATATACATGCAAATCTTTTCCTAAAGTAAGCTAAGATGGGCAAAAATTGAGTTTTTTTTTAATGTTTGTTTTCATGATTCTATGTCACTTTTTTCACCAGTCGAAAAAGCAAAGAAAAAAAGGAACATGTAGATAGACCTTATAGTTGTATAAATATATATATATATATATATATATATATATATATATATATATATATATATATATATATAGTTCATAATTTGTTATAACAACGCCTTTGCTTACTGAGACAGAACAAACTGGAAATATTTCCCAAGCTAATTTTGAAGCAAGGACACAATTCCCAATGAAATCCCAAGCTATGAGAAAAAAAATAAAATAATAATCTATAAAAGTCAACATGCCCGCGTTCTTTTTCACAAAACTAGTATTGGAAGAAACGGAGCTATGTAAATGGTTGTCCGTCCTTTTCAGTGCATCCACGACAACTCCCTTACATGTCAAGCAACAACATAATACAATATCTAAGGTCAAGCGATACAAATTTATCTTCGTGATTCTTTAAACGTTTTCAAAAGACTATCTGAACGAAATTTCCGCCTGTTACCCGAACGTTTACTGACAGAAAAAAAAAATGCGGCTTCGGCGACTCATGCACGATAAAAATGCTTGATTATTACGACAAAGATGATTTGATTTGCTTTTTGTTTTACTGCATATTAACCTCAATGGGTTATTTAATGCCGACAAAATTTTTATAGCTGGCAATATGATTTTCTTCAAAAATCTATTTTGGGGAATATTTTTCCTTGGAGAAATCTGTAGCTGGTCAGATTTTTTTTTTCAAAGAATATATAACTGTTTGTATTGCTGGTATTTTTTTTTTTTAAGTATTGCTGATAATAATTTTTCCTTCAAAAATTATTGCTCGTAATAATGTTTTTGTTACAAAGTATTTCTGATATTAAAACCTATTTTTACACAAGTTTGCGTGTTAACTATTTGCCCATAGCTGACACCCTAACAGGTGCTACCAACCCGGGTCAGGGTAGACCTGGGAACACCAGCAATTAAGAAGTGGTTCCACGCTTCTCAAAACCTCCTGATCAGAGGCCTTGCTGTTGGACGTAGTTTATCGTCTTACTCAGGGCGCGGATGTAGTTTATCGTCAAACCCAGGACGAACGACAAATATGAACTGGAGTAAAAATTACTCATGCAGCTGATGTAAGCAAGGTTACATTATTTTTTTGTACCAATCTAGTTCATTAGTGTTATCAATATAATCTACGTTACATTAAAATTTATTAAATTACTAAGTGAAATACCTATACAGTGAGGACATTCTGATAGAATTAGAAGTCCTACCAGTGTACATTATTGGTAACCACATTATTAAGAGACTAAGATATGCAGGTGGTACAGTGTTGATAGCGGATACAGAAAGTGGGGGACTACAAGAACCCCCAACAAAAGTTAAGGAAGGAAAGCGAAAAGAAAGAATGAATGCTTGTTAGTAAAAGGAACAGTCCAACATGCAAATTACAAAAACGTATAGCTGGCAACATTAATTTTTCATAAACATAATATCAGAGGCCTTGCTGCTTGACGCTGTTTATCGCCATACCCAGGACGCGGATGTAGTTTATCGCTATACACAGGACGTGGGTAAGGTCTGGAAAAAACTGGGATTTCACTATTTGCCCATAGCTGGGACCCTAACAGGTGCTACCACCACGGGCCAGGGTGGACCTGGGAACACCACCAGTTAAGAGGTAGTTCCACGCTCCTCAAAACCTCCTGATCAGAGGCCTTGCAGTTTAACGTCATACGCAGGACGCAAAATCAAACGGGTTAACGGTTTAGATATCTGGGAAGCGTATTTACAAAGGACAGAAAGTCCAACGGTAAGATCTGAAAACGTATTGGGATAGCGAAATATGCCTTCCAAAAACTAAGCAAAGTATAAAGAAACAGAAAAAAATACCGTTAGGAACAAGAAAAAGACTCTTTCTCCTTTTATGTACCCTTCAAGACGTAGGTGATCATGGCTCTCCACTTCCTCCTATCCCCTGTAGCTCCCTATAGATTTTATCCCATTGCTGTTTCTCCCAGACACTGTTCTGTCATCCACTTGTTTAAGCCTGCTAGGTATGTCAGGTGCTGCTTTCCTTTGTCTCTCTTTCCCTCTATCCGACCTGTGAGTATCAGATTCTCCAAACCCTCCTTTCTCGTTACGTGTCCCAGAAATTTTATTGCTCACACACTCGGTCCATGATATCCTTAGTATTATTCTATAGTAACATATTCTGTTGCCTCCTCTTCATCTTTGAGGAGACCGTCCAACATTCGCTGCCGTAAAGGAGGACATATATCACGTAGCAGTTCAGTACTATTTTCTTTGTTATCAACGAAATACTCCTTGCTGGACTGTTTAGTAATATCATTCCTCCTATAAGGCAGTGAGTACTGGATAATCTCCTCACATATGGAGAAGAGATTTGAAGCAACAGAAATATGGTTAGAGACAAAGATGCTTAGGATTCTATGAACCGAAAATGTGAGCAACGATGAAGATTTAGAGAAAATGGAAACAAAGTGTACTCTTCTTGTTTCTAACAAAATGTTTCTATTATAAATACTCTGCTTAGATTTTGGAAGCCATCTTTCGTTATCCCAATGCATCTTCGGTATTCAATGCCACACTTTCCGCCTTCTGTTAAAATACTTCCCAGATATTTAAATTGTTGTACTTTTGATTTTGGTATCTCCATTTTGTAATTTTCATGTTGGACTCATCTTTTTGATGGAAACTATACATTCCGAATTTTTTTATTTATTTTTTTTTTTGCAATTGATGTTTAACGACGAATGATAAACTTTTCGGGAGTGTTTAAAAAAAATTTAGGGACATTTAAATGTTCTTTTTTTTTTTTTTTTTTTCTTTTATAGGGACGATTCCAGATGAACAAAAAAGTCTGGAGCTCTGGTCGACAAACTGACGAGAACAATGAAAATAATGTTCTGTTGAAAAATTCAGCTGAGTGGTTTTATTTCTGCTTATTTTTATGGTAACACATATCGTAAGAGACCCCTTAAAAACTTGGACACAGCCATCTCTGTTTATCGCTCCAAGTTCAAGATATCTCCAAGATTAATCTGCTACATACGGTAAGCAGAAGAGAAAAAATACTTTAAAAATCTTAAAAGCATATAATAAAACAAAAAAATAAAAAGAATAAAAAAAAAAAACTCTGGTAAAATACAAAATGGTGGAAATCAACACCCAAAGAAATGAAAAGAAAATACACTTATGTCGAAATATTTTCTTTTTGAGGAGTCAAGTGGTGAAGGTGATCATTTCAAAATATCTGGAAACTAACAGAAAAAAGGGTCCACTTAATAATGTATCTAATGACAGATCTTTTTAGTTTTGCCGTAGAACCCCATTAGCTGTGGAAACATGTTTAATTTTAGATGATAAGTGAAGGTTGAAATCATATAGCGAAGAGAGAAAAGGGTAGAGACGATATTTAAGTAAGTTTTAAGTTTTGAAGTACATTAAAAAAAAACAATTCGATTTGTTGTGTGTGTTTTTTTCTCTTTTTTTTTAATTTTTTGTCGAGACTAAACTAAATTTTTGTGTCAGTTTATTTTGCCAAAAAATAATATTTTCATTGCGGCTGGCGAAGACAAAACAAAAAGGCAAAAAAAAAATATCCTTCCAAAATTGATAGGCTATTTATTATTACCGCCAGTTTTTGAAAGAAATAAAACCGGATCTTGCGACATGGGCGTAACGTAGTGGAATCGGCGTGGCGAGTTCAAATTCAGGCTTCGTTTGTTACGTTCCATTTCGCGAAAAAATATTGTCTTCTTACCATAATCCCCTCAAACTCCAGCAAAAATACTACCAGGAAATACATGAATCCATTTCTCTTTTCTGCCTCTACCCCCACAACAACAAAAATAGTCGGCAAATGTAATAACCCGTTTCTTCTTATGCCCACCCAAACACAAATACTGTTAGAAAACGTATATGAATCCACTTATTATTACCGCCACCCCAGCTATGGGTTAAATAACTGGAAAGACTGGACTCTCTAACCTTGTTTAGCAACCAGTGATATGGCCCACAGAGCTGCACTTGGTGGCTAGGGGGGGTTACATTTCTGATAGGCCTGATGATGCACCTGGCTTCACCGAAGCAGCGGCGTAACACTGAGTGCAAGTATTATTTTGACAACACCTGGGAGTGAGTCCATTACTACAGAAAATTTAGTCTTGTCCTCTTATCAGACGTTACTAACATTACATATTCCATCTCCTGCAATGGTGGCAAATAATAAAAAAAAATCCGACTGTAAATAATAATTAATATTCACCCAAGAAATTCAGAAAGAAAATAGAATTCGATGAAAATTTAATGCCGATCACCGAAGCCATTATAGATAGCTATGGGGTTCCTTAGAGGTCCTTCATCTGAATTTATCTGTGCGTCTATCCATTAAATAATGGCGTTAAGGCATTTGTCAAATGAAGGAACAAAGCTATATCAAGTCGGATTATAATCATTGTATCAGTATACTCATCAAATTGACTGTGTCTATTGAATATAAATATCTCCCGATTTAAATTAATGTTCAGTAATACATCATTCTGTACTGGAAGATGCTATTGAAGGAGGAAAGTGCCGTATGACACTCCTCACCCTATATCTTCCACCGTAGCCAGCCAATATTAAATATAGAGTAGTCGCATATAATTGCCTCCGCGTCAGATAAGATTTCACAACGAGAGCTCATTTATATAAATGTAAATCCCACAGGGGCATGACGTTTAGTAAGCTTAGCTTAGTACGAGAGAAAGATAAAGAAGAACAGAAGGCCTACAATGCAACAAACAATCAAATGCGAAAACTTGTTTGCTTGAAAATCGGGATTAAGAAAATCCTGTCTACTAACCTAAGTTATAGCTTCAACCAATGATATCAGTGTAATTTAAGTTCCTATCTGGATATTCCACTACTCAGGGCAGGTCCTTCGTCCTGGGTATGACGATAAACTACATCCAACAGCAGTACCTCTGATCAGGACGTTTTGAGGAGCGTAGAACCACCTCTTAATTGCTGGTGTTCCCAGGTCCACCCTGACTCGGGTCTGTTAGGGTCCCAGCTACGGGCAAATAGTTAACACCGACACTTGTGTAAAAATAGTTTTTAACACCAGAAATACTATGTAATAAAAAAATTTATTACCAGCAGTAATTTTTGAAGGAAAAATTATTATCAGCAATACTTAAAAAAAAAAATACCAGCAATACAAACAGTTATACATTCTTTGCAAAAATATGACCAGCTATAGATTTCTTCAAGGAAAAATATTCCCAGAAATAGATTTTTGAAGAAAAACATTACCAGCTAAAAAAATTTTGTCGGCATTAAATAATCCACTGATATTGATATGCCGTAAAACAAAAACCAAAACAAACCAACTCGGGGCAGGTCCTATCTGGACAGCCCACGCCTCAGGGCAGGTCCTATCTAGCCAGTTCTTTTTTCAATGCAGTCATCTTACATTTGAAATGGTTCGATAAAACCGTAGGTTCTATGCTAAGAGTTTCTTCTATCACATTTCACGCCGGCGTATTGTTTTCCAGTCAACAATGATCTTCAAAAATTAAATGCAATGTCAATCTTCTGTCTTCTTAATTTTTGTTCTTTTATTGTTCTCTCTACTTAATAGTGTTATTCTCATATTCTCCAAGACACATTAATGTAGTGCGTCTGAGTGGCGTTATTCCTTTGCTTGGGGTGAAATGATTAGTAAAAAATAAAGTTCATATTTAGCCAACTATTTGCATGGGTTGCTGATGCAGTGGGATATTTCGAATTGAGTCCGAATAGTGGATCTTTGTGACAGACTAAACTAGGGGCCTTGTTATAGCATGTTGATTAAGTGCAACATTTTTTCAGACAATTCTTAAATGAAGGGAATTTGATCCTTACTGGGTGTCCCACGACTGTCTTTGTGTCGGACAAAAATAAACTTACTTTTTCGTAGTTATAGACTATACTAAGAGGCCGAATTTAGCGTTTTTGAACCTTACTGGGTGTTCCAATATTGTGGCCTTGTACCTGAATAAGTACTGTAAAATACCAAAACCTATCCGAATCCATAAATAGCTTTGAGTTTCAAATACACGGGCCGGGACAATGTTTTTCTTGTACTTTTAAAGAGAAAAATCCATCCGGAACATCCTTATGATCATAATTTGGAAATCGTTTCTTTCAGTGAATATTTGGGAAAAAAAAATTCCAACCTTTTAAATTCGGTCGAAACCATTCTAAAAAAATTCCTTTCATTATTAAAAATTACAAAAAACAAAAATTCAGTAACTTCTTTCATTTCAACTATCACATCTATTTGAAACGCGTGTGCAGACCTTGTTATTTTTTTTTTACACGTTCTTTGAAAATTACAATGTTAAAAAATCAGAATTTGCTCTAAAGCACCAAATCTTTTAAATATAGAATTCTTACAGACGACAAAAGACAATTTCAATGTTTGTAATTAAATTGAGATAATGTAAAATGCATACTGAACAAAAGTAAATAAAATAATTATCATTGAATGTATTTCAGTCTTAAGTAATTAAACTCCAATTTACAAGTATTGATGTATATTAGACATGAAGACAGAGTATAATATATATATATATATATATATATATATATATATATATATATATAGAGAGAGAGAGAGAGAGAGAGAAGTGGAAGTAGGGAAGTAGTGGGGTATTTCGAGAGAAAATGCATAAAAATTTTAATGGAACATCTGTTCTACACAAGATAAGGCCAGATTTAATTTTTAAAAGGTAAACAAAAAAGCTATTTAATTATGCTGGGAGAAAATTGCGAAAATATCAAAGAAAAATAGCAACAAATAAAAGTCAGCTCAGTGATTACTCTGATACACTTTTATAAACTTGTTTGTGTTCCGTTGGCAAATGGATTCCCAGATAAAGCCAAGTCTTGGAGATAAGACGTTGGAAATAAATAATACTTAAAGCCAAGGAAATGAATGTGACGGTTATTTTCTTCCATCAGAACATGAGGTGCTAAACATAATTAGCAACTAATGTATTTTGAAAAATCATATGCAGATTTTTATTTTTTATTTTTTTTAAATTGGAAATATGATACACAGGGACTGTGCTAAAGTAGGTATACAGTAATGGAAAAAAACAAAAGCTACAAACAAAGCGTATTGACTAAACGAATATATCAATACCGGTATAATACTTACTGTATATCTACTTTTGCAGCACCCTGAATACAAAGAGGGACTTTTCCAAAAGTGCCCGAAAACTGGCCATTAAAAAATTTTATTTTTCTTCTTTTACGTGTTGCGTCTATTCATCACATAGGCGACCACAGGCCTCTTTAATTTCCTACCCGTTATAACCCTTAGTATTTCACCTTTTGCAAAGCTTCCGTTACAACATCCATCCACATAAGCTTGTTGATTGATTCATTGATTACTCTTTTTACGGCTTATCAACCTTTTTCAGTTTATTTAAAACTAGAAAATATTTTTAGATTGCAAACATTTTTTTATAGTTTTTACAAATGGTTCAATGATAGAAGTTCCACTAATTAACTCAGGTGAGAAGAAGTCGATTCATACCTTTCCCGAGGGTATTTGCGAATAAGCGAACCTAACGAGACAAACTGGAATTGGAACTCAGCTCACTGATTTTCAATTTCATTGCACTACTCGTACATCCAAGCTTAAAGCACCTGGCATTCCCAAGCGGTCACTCATCCAGGTACTGACAAGGCTCGACGTTGCTTAACTTCGGTAACTGTACGGCAACCGATGTTTCAACGTGATATGGCCGTAAGCCTCACATATGCTCGTCAGGTAAGTAGTTCTCTTCTTTTCCTTATTTCTCTTGCCCCGTGCGGGTTAAGTTTTCGAAGCGATCCTTCTTCATTAGAAATTTCAGCCATCTCTTCCTGATTCTGAATGTAATTCTTATTTCTTTAAGACTTCTTCGTTGCTTACTCGCTCCTTCCACAGAATTCTTCTATAGAACCATATTTCTGCTGCGTGTTGTATTCTCCTCATCCGTGGAGAGATTGTCCAGCTTTCACCGTCATATAAGAGGATGGATATCTCATAACAAGTCAGCACTCTTTTCACAGCGTAAAACCTGGTTTTTAAGTCCCTTCTGCATATCTTGCTATTGTTCCGTAATGCCATGTCATATCTAACAACAGGATTGTTCATTTCAGAGACAATTTCGATCTAACAAGCTTAGTGAACGAGAAGTAAATGAAAAGGGAGAGGAAGGTCGGAGAATGAAAGGGGTGAGAAAGAGGCGAAGAAACAAATGATAAAGAAGCAGAGGAAAAACGAATGAGAGAAAGAGGAGGAGGAGGAGGAGTAAGAAACGAATGAGAGAGAGAGGAGGAGGAGGAGTAAGAAACGAATGAGAGAGAGGAGGAGGAGGAGTAAGAAACGAATGAGAAGAGGAGGATGAGTAAAGAGAGGAGGAGGAGGAGGAAGTAAACAGATGAGAGAGGAGGAGGAAAAAAGAAGAGAGAGAGGAAACAGAGGATGAGAGAGAGGAGGAGGAGGACGAGTAAGAAACGAATGAGAGAGAGAGGAGGACGTGTAAGAAACGAATGAGAGAGAGGAGGAGGAGTAAGAAACGAATGAGAGAGAAAGAGGAGGAGAGAGAGATGAGAGGAGGAGGAGGAGGAGTAAGAAACGAATGAGAGAGAGAGGAGGAGGAGTAAGAAACGAATGAGAGAGAGAGGAGGTGGAGTAAGAAACGAATGAGAGAGAGAAGAGGAGGAGTAAGAAACAAATGAGAGAGAGAAGAGGAGGAGTAAGAAACAAATGAGAGAGAGAAGGGGAGGAGTAAGTAACAAATGAGAGAGAGAAGAGGAGGAGTAAGAAACGAATGAGAGAGAGGAGGAGTAAGAAACGAATAAGGGAGAGGTAGAGGAGTAAGAAACAAAAAAGGGAGAGGAAAATAAATGATTGTTGATTGATTTGTGTTTTTATGGCTTATCAACCCTTTGTGTGTTATTTAAAGCTTGAAATACATTTCGAATTCTAGAAGGTTGGTTATGATACCAGGTTTCCAAAGCAGTCCCCCATTTAAGTACCGACATGGTTCGTCTCTGCTTAACTTCGGTGTTCGACCGGGAATAGGTGATATCAGTTTGATTTGACTATAGGTTAAAGAGAAAAAAAGAGAGAGGGAATGGGTAAAAAGAGAAAGAAAGATAAGTGATGAAAAAGCGAGAATGTGAAATAATGAGAGAGAGAGGGGAGTGTGAGGAGAGAGAAATGCTGAGAGGGTCGAGTGAGAAAGAGAAATGATAAGAGAGTGGAGTGGGAGAAATGATAAGAGGGTAGAGAGAGAGAAATGATGAGAGAGTGGAGTGAGAGAAATGATAAGAGGGTAGAAAGAGAGAGAAATGTTGAGAGAGTGGAGTGAAAGAGAGAAATGATGAGAGATCGGAGAGAGAGAAATGAGGAGTGAGGGGGGAGGGGGGTGGCGAGGGAAACGAAGCGAAAAGAGACAAGCAACAGAGGAGAGAGAATAGTGAAAAGAACAAAAGACACTCCATCACTTTTATGCGTTATCATTCAACATGGAAACTCATTGTCATCTCTCAGCATTGTGACTCTTGTGACACCTTAAAAAGAAGGAAAGGTTCCGAGCGCCAAAGAGACTGGCACCGGACACTTTCTGAAAGTGCTAAAGAATTTAAAAACTTGACAAAAAGGCAGACAATTAAAATTTATTGATCACGAACTAATTGGCAGGTGTTCTTAGTCAGACCATCACTTATTGTTTTCCGTGTTTGGACAGTGTTCATTGTTGCTTACACAGGTTCGTGTCTCTCTCTCTTACCCATAAATATACCATATCGATAAGAAGATAACAATTGCCACTAGGTCGCAAAGTAAAAGTGAATACTGTATTAAATAGGTTTTGATGTAAGCACGCATGCTTGATAATAGATTTTTTTGTCAACGTCAGTTATCTTCCTTGTTGGTAAGTTGTAAAAAAAATTATGACCCAAACTTCTGTCGTTGTGTCTGGAAATTTTCGCTTTATTCGGGTGTGGAAAGGATGGTAGTTCTATCAGCAAGTAAACCACCCCTCTACAGGTCTTAAACACAATGGGCTTTAGAAAGGCCAGCAACATGCGCCCCTTCTTTGATGACCGGCACTTGAATATAATGCACTATGATATTTTTTCGATCCTTCAAGGTCAATGTTACTCAAAAGCCAAACAATTATAAATTATTACCAAAAGAAATTGTTAAAAAAAAACTACTTTATTTTTTAAATTAAAATTTAAATAAAAATTTTAAAATTAAATAAAAATAGGAAAAATATTTTTATTAGATGGTTCGTTTTTGAATATTTGCTGTACAGAAATTTTTTATCTTCTTTCATAACTTTCCGGTAAAAATCTTAAAAAACTGTCGGTTTACCTCCTCCTAATTTTCGATACTGCTCCTAGGAGGCGCTCTCCGGACTATAAATACTCTGGGATAATTTATCATTCTCTTCTCACCTGATCCACTTATTCTTCATCATGAAACTCTCTCGCTGAGAACATGTTCCCTTTGGGAATTTTATGAACAATACACACACATGTACATGTGTACATTCACCCACTACACATACTTTGAAACAAAACGGTTTCCAAGTTCATTTGTTAGACACATTATTGTGTTGTCGCTTGTACACCTTTGTTATTTATACATTATCATTTGTTTATATATATATATATATATATATATATATATATATATATATATATATATATATATATATTGGTTCTTGTTGTTTCTTTGTATTTCTTTACATAGACTCATCCAGAGTCCATAAGTTTGTTGTGTGTTTTCAGGAGACACACGTGTTTATCTCTTAACGCATACACCGGCGCGCAACACAATAAATATACATGTGAATTTAAATAAGATTATAGATTTTTTTTTTTTAATTTTGCCAGACGTACCAGCATCAGTTCAAAAAAAAAAAATAAGACAAAAAGACAGAGAGGCGAGACGTAGACCAACGATGCATAAAACGTTCAAATCGCATGAACAACTTGATACGGAGAAACGTCTTTAATACAATAACAAAACCGTTGCTTTGTAAGCTTAGTCCTGGGTAACTTTTATAGTTTCGCTTGCAAGAATTAAAAATATCTATTTATAGAAAGTAGATGAACGTAGTCAGCTCGCTGGTAATTGTGTACACGGCATGAGAGAGATTATATGCTTCTGGCAATATAAGAGACTTGAGCCCAACATGAACCAAAAAAAAAAAACAGATCAAAAGAATAGTTGAATGAATTATTTAACTAAGACCACCCACAACCCGATGTTGTTCTTTACTATAAAAACAGTTTCCAGTATTTAAAAAAATCCTTGCTTCGAACATTGCTACAAAATCTGGTATGGTGCTTCTGTTATATATCTGTAGATTCTTGACAAAATCCAAAAAAAATCTGCAACGTCATTATTTAAAAAAAAAAAATAAGAGGGTATAAATGAAAGAATTAAACACTGGCAAGGTTTTCTGTCAGTGAAGTTTGAGAGTGTTAGCGCTTTCTTGGGATTTTCAGGAATTGAATATTACTGTAAAATCCAGTCTGTTGCATCTGCTATGTATTTAGAAATTCTTGCTAAAATACAAAAAGGAATGACCAATATTATCAGTCCTGACATTGCAGTTTGGCCACAGTCTCTTTCCCAGCACCGTAACGTAGCTTCCCTTTGGGTTTTATTTTCACGATATTTGCTCTGATGAACGTTCCTTTTTGGTACCTCACTTTTAAGTACAGTACCAGATTGGAATTATGAGACCTAGCTGCCATTGTTGAAACTGCTAGATCTAACCGCAAGTTCTATGCTAATAGTTTCTTCTGTCGCAAGTCTCACTTGTGGAAATCTCTTTGCGTATCCTTGCTTTCTTGTCAATTACGATCTTCTAAATTTTCAATGCAACGTTTATCTTCGTCATCTGTCTCCTTGAAACCTGTTCTTTTATTGTCCTGTTTATTTCACTCTCAGTATCCCCTTGCATCTTACATCTTAGTAGGTGATATAATGGAATATGCATACACTTGTGTTCCCCCTCAGTGGAGTGTGATTGGCTGGTGTCCGTCATAAATACCGACGGACGTGTAGGAGAGTCAAAGCCTTAGTCTGAGAGCTAAGTCTATAACGACGCCCATTGGACTACGCCATTGATCGACACTTCTTACCTGTGACTACGACGCGTACCAGTCGATTACTGCAACCGTATTCTACTTGGTTATAGTAACCAAAACCACTTAGCTACTTCGTTCAAATATATCACTTTCCGGGACATATCAGTAGGCTTTATCGCTTTGGTTTGAGTGAAATAAGTATAAAAATAATAATTAAATGAAGATTGTATCCTGAATACTGGCTCACAGAAGAACAATTGAATTTCGAAAATTCTAACAAAAATTTAAAAATTGGTGTAAGAAAGGTTGACACTTTAAGATAATAAATATCTCAATTGTACAATGATTTTATGGACAGCATGTATAAAGAGAGAAAAAGACAAATTTGCTTTTATATGCATTTTCTCTTATACTTCTATCTTGTATAGAAAGAGGTTATTAAATATGTAAACTGCACAATGCCTGTATAGACAACGTCTATAACACACTCTGCAAGTCCATTGTACGTTTTTAAATAACAATATTGATTGGAGATTAACAAAGAACATAAAACTTGTTCATAGCGCACTGATTTTGAAAGTTTCATATGTCATGCGTCTTGATTTGGAGAAATGTTTTCTATGGAAATAATTTAATTAATAAAAAACAATTCTTTTCAAGTTGTCACATCGTTTTGCTACGGGCTCTCGTTAAATGAATATTAGTTTACATTTAAAATAATTATTATGTAAAAGGTGATTAAAGAAAAGAAAATCTGTAAATATGAGGTTTGTGATACAAATATGTAGATACTGAAGGGCATAATTTACAATCTCGATCTCTCTATCTATCTTATATATATATATATATATATATATATATATATAAATAAAATTAATTCATCCAACTGCAGGTCAACATTGAGGTTTTGAAGACAGCACTCATTGTCTTTCAACATGTAATGCAAATAAAAGATGACAGAAAATTGCATCTCTCTCTAGACTGT